CATCTTGCCCAGGGGGCAGTTAGATATTTAGAGGAGGATAAACATGGATAAAAGGCTGGATCTTAGAGAAGAACACCGTAGTCTCAAGGTGGGACTAAGTTAGCAATTGACATTTCTACAGCTCATTCATCTATGCTTGAAATACCCATGACATAAAAAAAGGTCTGATAAAAAACATGACTGCTTTTCATTCCAAGAAGGAATCTCTATTACCAGAAATACCTCTAATGGTGATAAAACTGGCTACAAGGCTCACATATCTTTAAGCATTTATTCAATTTCACTTCTAAAATGAAGGTTATAAATCAACCCCAAGCCCTTCCTGAAAAAACACTGTTATCCTCAAAGCCATTTTGAGCATTTGCAGAAGAATGATTCCTTCCTGTGTCAGACGTTATGAAAGACAGTTCATACTTCAAATAATGTGATTTATAAGTTGAGATTGTGAAGTTAAATTTAATAAAGCTCCGAGAAGATGCATGAGCCTCGAAAAGCTTTTTAATACAGATCTTTTGGAGTTGAGATGCTACCTTTGTTTTATATGAGCTGTTCTGTATTCTTGTGTATGCTGCAGATACTAACGGATGCCAGCAGAATTACCCACTACAGAATGCTTACCTTCTTTCTCTTCTTTTTCTCTCCACAAGAATTTGACTGATGACAGATTGCATACGTGTACCTCATTAATTTTTAGAGTTATCACAAAAAATGAAAGGGTTTTCCAGTCTTCGTATTTGTTTCTTGAATCACCAACTTTTATTTTTGATGATGCAATTTTTCAAAGATGCTTGGTTAGTATTCCATTTTGTTCAGGCAATTGTTGGGAGATTTACTACTATATTATTTTGAAGTCCAGATGATAAACTTTTGATAATCAGCAGTTCTGGTCAAGGATGGTCCCACAAACTCATGAAAAGGTGATCGTGACAGAATTTCTTCAAAATATGCTTTTCATTATGGATTTAGGATTTGACATTTTGAATTAAAAGACCTAAGATTTCATTTCAATTCAACCCAATGTAAAAAAAAAATTAAAACACTGAAATAATTCTTACAGAAAATGATACTTTGAAAAAAATACAAGTATTTTGATTATAAAATTCCCTAATTTTTTCATCATGTATATCCCTTCCAGACCAAAGAACAGCCGATCAAACCTAGGCTACCTATCTAAACTTAAATCTTACTTCATACAACTGGGGATTAGGGGAGGGAGGAACATAGGGGAAGGAACAGTGCGACCAAAATAAGGACCTATTTTGCCTTTCAAATAAATGGAGAAATGTAGATTTTTCCAAAGACTTTTGAAGTGTCATCAAACCAGAGAATTACTTCTCGCTGAGATTGCAAGGGGCGAACAAGATAAATACATTGATATCAACAAATCTATTGGCACTACCATCACATTTGCTTTAGTAGACAAGTAGTCAGTTTGTCTGGACAGCTGAAAACATCAGCTCCAGGCTTCCTTCCGGATGGGCAGCTAGATTCCCAATTCTTCACAGACTACATGACTGTTTAACCACAAGCCCACAAAGTGTCTTATGCAAACACACTTTACGAAAGTTCCTCATCCAGGGTCTGGTTTTGGTTTTCATCCAGCTACAATCCAATGTTAAGAGTCACAATTTAACATTTTTGGAAGAGCTGTTAACCACTTCTTGTCTGAGCCCTGACTATAACTGTATTTCTGACTTCCTCTAGGAGAATTAGTTGTATTTTAGTTAAGTGAACAGAATGTTGGTGCCGGTCTACTGATGTGGGGGCTGCAGCAGTGCTCTCAATGGCAGGTTTGTACTCAGAAAAATTACTTCTAAATACCCTCAGGAAAGCAAAGTGGGATACCCCAACTAACTAGAAACATGCCAATTAACATTAGTAGGCTGGTTGGATTTCTGAGCTTTGGTTACCGAAATCATACCTCAGGCAGGACTTCTGAAAAGTGGTGTGAACCCTTAGAGAGTGTGACAGAGCCCAGAAACACAGACATGGCCAAAAGCAACTTGGCATTTAAACAAACTGCAGCTGCGTTATTTCCTATACATCATGACATAACTATTCCCTGTTAAATTAATATTCCAGTTTGCAAAATAAGACAAAATTAGTAGCTCCTGTTACAGCTTGTTTGTACATTTACAGTGCAATCTATTTAATGAACAGGGAAATCTGACTGCAAAAAATGAAGCAAATCTAGCTGCAATTGCTATAGAAGAAATGTAGATTCAACTATTTCCTTCCATTAATATGCCAGGAATTGACTCATAAGGGGAAAACTCATGGATTCCTGCTAATCATCTAGTTTAAATTATAGCTACAATGTAAATGTATTTGATGCAAATTATTATTGCACCTAAACTGCAAGTAAAAATACATTAAACAGAATGTTAGTTCACCAACAATAAATGAAAATGTTGTTATTTTAAGAAGTTATTTCTGAGAATAACATATTTAAGGACTATTCCATTCGTACTTGCAGTATTCCCTTTTTCATGGTAGCATATAGAGAAATAAATTATATTTTCAATTATTAAATACATTTAATATAATTAGTATGTTTAAGAGCTTCCTATGGCTTAGTTTTAATAGAATAGATGTGAACATTATTCATGGATTTCTTACGATTTTTGTGTTTTGCCCTTGTTGTAATTAAGTAACAAAAGTCATTATTTGAAGACTGTGTAGAACATCTTGAAATTCAGGTGAAAGCTGAGAGAGAACATTCAGAAATTTGAGACGTGCTACTGCAGTCTGCAAATGTAGGCACTCTAGAAATAAATCAGAAGCTATTTTAAATTCATTTAGAATTGTACAAGGCTAATTATAGAAACATAATTATGAGTCTGATATAAGGAAAGAGTTATTTGGGGTTCCTGGATGCTGTTCACCTATGAGCTTAGCTGTCCCTTCACATGTTGGTGCTTTGGCCCTAATAAGAACCAAGGTGAGTTGTCTCCATGGGTATTTCAGAGTGGGAAGCACTGAGATGCTCAAGGCATCAGGAGTTTAATGGTTGCACGAGCAAACTGCATGTTTTTACAGGGCTATCCCTGAATGTGGGCACTGATTTTAGATCTGGAATAGTCTTCAGACTATTCCATGTTCTTCTGTTTCATACCATAGATCTGAAAACCTTGGCCACGGGGAGATAGGACTGCTGGCTGCTGAGCTGGGTCACAAACTTTAATGCAAGTGATAAATTTCAAGGCTCATCCATGAGAGCTGTCATTCTAACGAATAAGCATCCTAGATAGATTGGTTAGCTATGGCCATTGCTAGAGACATCAGATATAGAACATTGTCAGTGCAAAGAAGCATCTTGAATAGCGTCCTTTTTGCCTGAATGTTTCGTAAATTCTAGAGTACTACATCTCTTTTTCATTTTCTGCATTTCTCATATACACATATGACAGAAAAACATCTAACACTTGAGTCTTGAGATCTTGTGATAGTATCTTAGAATTGCAAGAAGAATAAAAATCATCATCACACCTAATACATTTTAAGGTATTGCTTATTTCAAGTTTAATCTTTGGCATGTAAAAAGAAAATAATAAAGAATATTTATTATCTGATTATCAATTCACTAATTGGAATCGAACATACTTTCTGTTACACAAAAAACATTTGCTCCTTAGTCCTTCAACACTGTTATGTTTATCTTGTAGATGGCATTAACCTGTGACTGGTTTTGTACAGTGTTTAGTTACACAGTGGAGACTTTCACATCTCTTCATAAAGATAGTGTGTTAAAAAGTTAGTATGATTTCAAAAAAGGTTAGACAAATACATGACAGAGAAATCCACAGGCTCTTAAATCCAGATATACCTGTCTTTGTCAAAGAAATTCCCAGAGTACAGGTTGATGGAGCCTTGGAAAATATATTGGGAAAGTTTTGTATTAGAATCAAAATGTTTATGTATTTTTCTTTAAGCCTTCACCAGGATATTAGAGTAGCTCAAATATGATCATTCATGTTAAGTGGAGAACATATATATTTATATACATATATGATTAGGTCCTTTTGGAATCAATTTTGGGCTCCAGTGCTTTGCTGTTATAAGTGACTGCAGTTATGCTAAGGCTGTGTTCACTTTAGAGAGAACATAATTTGGCTTTTAATTCATGAAAGATTCTAAACTGGCAACAGGAATTTTTCATGTTTACAGTTCAAGAGTGAGCTAAAGGACAGGCAAAACACTGTAGGTTAGAAACTGACCTCTAGTAACAGAGCTAAATTCACAAAACAGAAGGTCTGTTTGCATTGTGACCATCTGCAGCCAATTAAACTATTCACAAACTGAAAAATTTTCATATTGCAATGGTTTATGTCCCTCCAGTCTTGGTTCTTTTTTTAATTTTTTTTTAATTATGTAGGTCATTTTCAGATAAGGTAGGACAAATCTACATCCCATTACTACTCTCACTACATAAAAGCCAGTATATGTTTTAAGGTGGTGGTGTAGTTGAAGCTAGTCATTACATTTTTTTAGACAAGAATTTTCTCATACGCCTATGTGACCAAGCAGAGGGAAAATATGAGACATTCCAGTGACAAAAAGATTCTTTTGTGTTGTTCCATATCAGTAATTTTTTTAAGTAATTGAGTTTTGAATTTTCTCTGAATCAACTAAAAAAATTAATTAATAGAATTATAGGTTTTGATATTCTACAACTTTATAGGAGATTTTTAGTCCAGGTATTGACAAAAATAAATGATGAAGCTGGACAGAACACACATTTCCACACACTTCTGTATCAATCTGCAGAAAACTGAATCAGAAGTGAACAGGTGAATATGATGTTTAAATAATCCAATGTAAAAAGGCACCTTAAAAATACTGATGAATAATGAAACCCTCTGCAAAACCTTAATAATTCAACAAAAATGGTCACCAAAATCTTTTATTCTTTTCAGCTTTCATTACTTCCACAGTCTGAACTGATTCAGCAATAAAGAGAAAACAAGAGATCCTTGATAACATTTTAAAGGTTTTCTTACCACAGATTAACTAGGAAGGGATGTTCCAGGCCTTGCATTATCTGTAGCTCCCGGAAAACATTTCGAACTTCATCTCTCTCAATGCACTTCTGTTTATTCATGTATTTCATGGCATACATTTTCTTGGTGTCTCTCTTCTGTACAATGCACACCTAATTGACAGCAAAGTAAAAGAAAAATTTTGACACCTTGAGAAAGTAAACTCAATTGTGACTTTGAAAAAAAGGATCCTTTTATGATACTAAATCAGATACTACAACTGAGTAACACCTTCAAAAAGTTCACATCTCTGCAAGATTCTTTGTAATAGATTATAATTAAAAGAATTTACAAAAGAACACCCAAACCCTGCATAAGGAGAAACAGGGAAGCATAAATGCCCTAGCATTCAGAAGTTACATGGTAAAGCTGGGAGGAATACACTCCAATTGCTGAATTCACAGGCTATTTCATTAGCCACAGAAATTACTACCTACTGCTTAGGAAAATGCACAATCGTTGTCCTCATTCCTGTAAGTCGGTACACACATCTTGATTACTGCATCATAAACCTTGCCTATGTTCCCAAGGCTCAATATTTCATCTAAATATCAGAATTATGCTCCTTTAATTATTGTTGAAAGGAAAAAGAGTTTTCGTACTGAGATTCATCATAATATTTTTGAATTCACAAGAGACCATTGCAATGATTTAGTCTCTGGCAGTAAATTTCTTTCCTTTTACTTTGTTTTCTTTTCTCTGTCTCTCCTTTTTTTTTTTTTAAGAAGTCAGATAATGTTATAAATGCATGAAGAAAATCTTAGTCAAGAGAACTCCCATGTTAAACCTGGATTGTTTTTCGTCATGGTAATTTGCCTTGAGAATGGAACTGGAAAGTCATCAGCACCATATCCAAGAAGCACAATTTTAAATATGATTTCTGGCATTTGTTCTGTGTCTCATCCCCAAAGCTGGTGTAAAAATTATTTTCATAACAGCTCTATATCCATACCTAGAGGGAAACTGTATCCTCAACAGACTTTTGCTCTGAAGGGAGTTTTGTTGTTAATTGATCAGAACTTTTTGAAGTGACACTTCTAATGTGTCCTCACAGCCAAGAGAATACTTACTGAAAATATTGTTTTGGTGCAACATGTGTATTACTGATACAGCCATAGGCTCCAATCAGAAATTTTAATCTTCAGTACAAATACAGATTATGTACTGGAAGTGTGTGGTTTAGGTATCATAACTCTGTAATGCCTAAATTTGAAGGTATTCTGGATGTAATAGTGCCCTTTGGTGTGGGCATTATTATTTTATTTGTATATTTATCTACATCCACACAAGCACACATAAACACTCCCATATTATACACACATAAAAGGATAGTACACACTCATAAAATTCATGCTCAGACATAGAATTACAATTTGGTGACAGTCAAAAAGAAATCCATGGGTCTGAGTTGTATTTTGAGGAACTTGTGTACTCAATATTCAGAAATGGTCTGGAGAAACTGAGGCAACTTCCCACAGCTGAAACTGGGAGGAACAGGACCAAGGAAACCAAAACATATTTATTTCTCTGAAACTCTGTTTTCATAAAGTGTGTCTTTGAGCTCAAATCTACTCCAAATAGAGGAGTTAATAGAGTAATTTTAACCTATATGGATAAGGTGTGATTAAGCAAAGATTCTAATTACCTTCTCTAATACCAGATGTTCTGCTAACTAAGGAAAACATGGATGGCAACATTCTGTTTTGAGCCTATCAATGTTGCAGAACGGTGAGTACTGAAGTTTTGTTTCATTTTTCCATCTTGGGCTGTTATGGAAAGTCTGAATATTGGTGATGCCCTCAAGATAAATAAAGGTTCATATTTATATGCAGAGAACCCAGGTTGTGGAACGATGGGGAATTGTGATTGGCCTTTTGGGGGAAGAAGATAGAGCAGGTGGGTTTGAACTGAAGTGGAGGAATGGAAATTAACTGTTCAAGCTTACACAGGTCATTCAAAAGCATAAGCAAGATCTTCAGGGGCAGTTCCTGACATGCTGTCATAGACTATGTGAACACTCTAATTAAACTCCATTACATTACAAAGTACAAAATTTTGGGATTTTGGCTCAGAACCTAAGTCCCAAAATTCATTCACTTACATGAATTTGCAGCACAATTTTTATGTGTAACTTGACCAAGACCAAGATGTTTGAAGAAGTCTCCTATTCTGCTACATAAAAAGCCTTACCATTGAAAGTTTGACTAGAAAGTCTGCTGAGAGGATTGGGTTTTACTAACTGAGAGTTACAGGTTTGAGCAGGTTTGAACTAGGATCATACACAGCATCTAGATATGTAACATAAACAGGTTTTGAAAAGCTGCTGTGATTCCAGAAGGCACTCAGTTCTCTTACTTGCCAGTACAGACAAGGGTATTCAGCACACTTGAAACACACCTTCTGTTGTTAGTAGAAGCTTATCTAGCACACAGCTTCAAAGCAGAATGATAGCAAACATTTTCTAGGAATGTGTACCTATGTACATCTTTTAACATGGTTTCAAAATCAATAGAATTTTAATCACTCTAATAAAGCTACTTCCTACTAAAAATCAGGAAACACAACCTGCATCCACATTGATGTTACTGTGAAAAAATGCCTGATGTTGCTGTGACAGCACTGAATCATAGTGGAGGTCCTCTCTGGTACTTCTACCTGCTGGCTGTCAGCTCTTCCTCTGAGCAGGACATCAATAGGCTGAAACTTTCCACTAGTGCAAGAAAAAAAGGAAAAGCCCTTGAGCTCTCCTCACATGTGCAGTCTTAATGGGAAATGATTGAATTTAGGTGGGTTTTTTTCCAAAGGAGTAATTTTAAAATGGACAAACAGGTGCTCTGGCACCCAAACAAACAAATTCTGTGATGACTCATTATAATGGAAGTCTGTGCAGAATTGCGTTATTTACAAGTATCAGTATGGAAACCTGTCATGGTCACATTACTAAAACATTCTCTTTCCATTTTTCTCTGAATATCCTTTACCAAACCCCAGACAGTGTGATGCTTCAAACCAAATGTCGTGAACTCAACGACTAACTACCCAGCTTCAGAGTCAGGAGAGAAGGACAGGCACATTCATTTCCACATAAGGTATAGATCTAAACATGTCCATCTCTAGAGGGATGGTTTCCCTTCTAATGTCCCCATAAAGTGACTGTAGATTACTAGTTTGGATGTAGGCATCATGTAGACAACTATGTGTTTAAAGGTAGGCATTATGAATCACCATTCATTTTCTTTGTAGTTGTATTGCACTTATCTTTAAAAGTCTCTTGTGAAAATATTCCCTTTATAAAGAGGGGTTTTCTAAGTGTCTTACCTTTTATCACAGGGTGGTATCTTTCATTATTTTTGGGAGAAAGTAACAGTAAGTTGCCTTAAAACCTATTAGGTTAAAAGACATTTGACCAAAGGCTGACTTGGAACCACTTTCCCTCAGAGCCAGGGGAAGAAAACCAATAGATTATGACTGTAGGGCTAAACTTCATTTTTCAAGAACAACACGTGCTATGTTCCATTGGTAAACTACCTTCTTGGATTTCCTCTGATTTCACACATGAAAAATAGAGCACTTACAGATTGAGTTTAATCTGAAGTTTAAGAGATCACAGTGCTATGGGCGACAGAGTGCCCCATGGGCTATTGCAGAGCTAAGTGAAGTGAGAGAGTTATGCTGAGTAAAACTGGGGCAGAATTTGCTCAAGGTTTGCTGCAGAAAGCTGCATAATACTGTGTTGGCTGAGCAGCCATAGGTAGGTTCAGAGAAGCTTTTCCTAGAGCAAAAGATGGGGAGGGCTGAAAAATCTGACTTGCAGCAAACACAAGATTTCTCCCGTTTCCCACTAGAAAAGACTTCTAGATGCTATGTGCTTGGTCTGGAAAGAGTGAGGAGCAGGTGCACTTACTCTCAATAAAGACATTTTGGTCTGAAGTTGGCACGAGTACTTAGACCTCTCAAACTAGCACATGACATGGTTTCATGAGACCATAAAAAAAGGAGAGACAAAACCACAGGCAGAGAAAGCTTCTCTGTCCAAGGTCACTCTGTGCAAGGTGGAGAGCTGGAAGCTGGAGTGCACACTGCATCTGTGCTCCTGCATGACACTATTATGTCCTGTCAGTAGATCAGATGGGGCAGCTATAGCTGCCATGAGGAATCACAGCCCAGCAGAGGGGCTGTTGCACTACCACAGGCAGAAGGCACTCACCCAGACATGGGGACTGCAAGACAGAAATCAGCTATATGCTTCAGGGTGGGAACTGGCAAATCTGCTACCAAGCACATGCCGCAAATACTGCTACATTTTGTGTTCTTACCCATGTGTTCTGAAAAACTATTGCTCATAGTCTTAGCCTACAAGAAGAGTAGGAAAAATTTACACAAAGAGGCTGGAGAATGGATATCATAATTTTATCTTTACACTGCCAGGAATTTCCTTGAAATACGGGGATTCATTCCCAGATTCCCCTGAGCAAAACATGACATCTGGAGCAGCCCAAGCATCTGCTTACTATCCTTTCATATTAACTCAAGCTAAAAAAATAGGTTGTTATACTGTCAAACAATATTAATACTCTGCAATTGTGTATTTTGTTGCTTTTAGGACAGTAGCATATTTTTTCTGAAATATTTTGCATAATATTTAGCAAAGTACCCTCAATCAATGCAGACGTGATTCTAGGCTCCCATCTGTTTTACACCAGTACAATTTCAATTACTTCAGCACAGGAAGTCACTGTTTTATAAAAAATTAGCAAATATATAAATATAAATTTATAAATATATATAAATACACCAAAATAATTAGAACCAAGTCTTGTGTCTCACCGTCTCAGACAAAAAGAAGTGAATTTGTACATCAAAATTATAATTTAAATTTAATTTAAGGAGGTCAGATTGTTCAATACACCTGCTCCCATGAACAGAGAACTTAAAGAAAATTGGTACTATAATATTCCTGAGAAGTAGTTGTTGCACCTGAATACAAATTATTTTGCAGCAGTAACCCTGCAATTACATGGTTATTGTAACAGTTATAAGGATAATGGGAATTCTTGTATTTCACTCCTTGTCAGTTTTGTACTTATTGGGTGATCTTCGAAAATATATTTTCTCCAGTATTTTTTGAGAAGAGTGATATCTCTACATACAACAACATGGAAAAACATGGCCAAATTAAACATGTGACAGCACTTCTAAGATGTTATTTTTCATAAAGAAATAACTACTTTGACCAGAGTTAAGTATTTTTGGTTTGAGTATTTAAAAGTTTCTACTTCTGAATTTACTTAGAAAGCAAATATTTAATTTACAAATAAAACCTGTTTGGTCAAAATTTCTCACCAGCCCACTTGCAATGTACTTGCAATGAGTAATAACTGGAATATACTAAGCATAACTAACTTAAAGGTCTTCAAAAAAAAAAAAATTGTCCTGTTGTGCATGAAGACACCAAAGCATAAGCAAGCAGCTTGAACTTAGCAAAGCAAGGCCACTGAAGCCAGAAAGTCTACTTTTAGAGTAATGCCCCACACCTCACTTGAGTACCACTGACCCTTGCCCAGGGCTGTGCCAGTGTCTGTATGTACAGGTACATACACTGGGTGTGTATGCACGAGCCCAGGAGAGGGAGAAGTATTCAATGAGCAGTCACACATCATTCTGCCACAGCTTGCATGTCCCTTGGCTTGAACAAAAGAACCACTAACTTGCACAGAAATTTTGGCTGTGATGGTCTGACGCAGCTTGAAGCTTGCCTTCTTCATCTGTCCCTTACCAGGTTGCATCCTGAGCTCTCAAAGGTCACCTTTGAAGGGAGCCTGATTGTTTCCAGAAAAAGGAGCATGCTTGTGGTTTCTGTTCTCTCCACACCTATTGCCTACCTTCCTCAAAATTGCTGTGATGTATCTTCACTTTTCCTGGAGAATATGCTACAGTGTCTATGAGACAGCATCTGCTCTCAACCTGTCCCTAAGAAGCTGCACAAACTGAGGCACCCTCTTAAAGCAAGTGGTCACTTCTCAGAAAAGGCAAGCTCTTGAGATACAAAGCATTTGATACCAAACGACCTACGAATTCCTGTAACAGCAAATATTGCTAGTGTGAACTGAAAATTCCAAAGGAAAAGGCAGGGAGCTGCTTTCTGAAGCCAGCTGGGAGGACAGAGCATAGCTGCTGAATCAGTCAGCCCCAAGGGAGGAGGTGAGGTGCCAAGGATCACCTTGAGCTCTGTGCACAAGAGAGAGCTGAGCTGTGTAGAGGCTCTGCCATGTCAGATACCTCCTGCAGCAATATCCTGCTAAGGCCTAAGGTTGCTGTAGCAACCAGAGTAATTTAAGAAATATTGAGAGAGAGAGGGAGCTATTGTACCAACAACAATAAAATAAAAAAGTAGAGCATGTCTTAAAACATCCTTTTGCTCTCAGAAAACAGAAAAGGCCACAGTGGAGCCATAAAGGAAGCAGGCAGTTTAAGGAAAACATGATACTGAACAAAGTTATGTGTTGCAAGATGCTAGAACACAATGGACTCCAAACATTAAACAGCTAACAATAGAGATTAACAGTCTTGCATCATCTGTTGACATTTTCTACTGCCAGGTACTTCCAGAAGGACAGTAATAGGAAAAGTTGCCAGCAACGAGGCTTCTAAATGACCAATAAAGGCAAGACTGTCTCACAGAAAAGACACTTGAAATGGTGACTAATTTACCATGTTGTGCTTTTGGCTATGTTATAATAGGTCGCTTGAAAATGGGTTTCTTTATTTCCTTGCCTGTGGAAGGCAAAACAAGGTGATTTGTCAGAAGACTGGATTCATTTGGGGGAAAAAAAAAAGAAAAAAAAGCCTGTTCCAACAAGGACTTTGCTGTTGTATTTGACAGCTGCAAAATAAGGACTTAAGTTTAGAAGGTATTCATGTATGAGTCCTTTCTTGCATTAAACATGTTCTCTGAGGGCTGTGAAACTGTGTTCTCACCAATGAAGATTCTCCAAAGTAGATTCACTAGAACACTGCAGTCATTTAAATCTGTAAGAAAGTTGGATGTTTCTAGAAATATCATAGAAACATTTACCTGTTTCCTCAATGCCATGGAAAAGAGTGGATCAAACATCAACTAACAAGCCTTCAAAACACAGGTAGGTTTCTTTTATTTTCCTGCATGGTGCGGAAGGCTGAGGGCCCCTTTGAAAGGTCAGAGACAGTAGAGGTGTGAATGCAAAAGACTTGAATAAAGAGGGGTGCAGACGATCTTTGTGAGGGCCAACATGATTTGGATATATCTTTAACTTCTTTTTCTGTGCCTAACTTGCACTCTTGGACCTCTATTTAGTTTGACATGGCATTTCATCACTGTATTGTAATAAACAATCATAGCTCTCCACCTGCCTGATTTTTAAGGAGTTCTGAAAAACCATGTTGGCCTTGCAGCATATTCTCCCATTGACTTCAGAGAGGGTTTCTCTTGAAAACAACTGAATCAAATAAGAACCATGCCATGAAGCACTATGCTGTTCTGCAAGAAATATCTAAAATTAAAGTAATTTTTCTGCATGAAGCCCAAGAACCAGCAAAATCCTGTGTGTGTTCTTAATGCATGACTACAGAAGTATCTCATCAGCACTGACTTGGCACATACTCAAGAGTCATTCAAATCTAGATCTACCTAGTTGTTGCTTGATCAGTTACCTGATGAGGTGTCAGTTATACTTCATCTTCAAATGTATTCCCATGAGAAATGGTTTCTAATATTTTTATAATATGATTTTCTCTGGCTTCATGGTCTTGTATTTACCCATATTAAAATTTAAAACCTTGTTATAATCATTATTATAAAAAATAAAGGTTGTCTATACATGTGTAAACAAACCATTAATCTTTGTTTCAGCGAAATCCTGTTGAATTAAACAAACATTTACTCAATGATCATAATTATAGTGTATGTCAGTTTATACAGTCCCAAGTGGATTTAATCTATGTAAAGTGCCTTTAAAATACTGCAATTATTTTAAAGACACAAATGAGTCCAGAGATTTAAGAACAAGATCACTCTAGTAGACTGTCTAAAGAAGTAGTCTGCTCCTACTTTTTTGTTTCTTTTTGTTTTGAGGACAGATTTCTAAACTCTGCTAATCCCCATTGGGGAGACAATTATTACAATAATTTTTGTTCAATTGATTTTAGTGAATGTATTATAATAGAAATAATTTAGTGAATAGTCAGGGTCAGTTCATACTGGTGATCAGATGTCTTTGAGAAGGAAAAGGCTACAAAACCTATGTTATTTAACCCTAATCAGGTTACCAGAAAAACACAAAGGAATTCCCTATTAGATTTTTAACTGCTAAAAATAAGTTGATTCTTACCTTTCCAAAACTCCCTTTCCCAATAGCCCGCAATATTTGAAAGTGGTCAAAGTTAACTGCAAAATAAAGGAGAAAAGAAAAGGAAAATAGTTTGTAGCATACTAAGTCAGAATCAGAAATCAGATAAGAAATATTATATTGATTCCAACTAACATAATTTTACCATGTGATATTCACTTTTTTTCTTAAAACACCAAATATATTTAATAGGTAACAAAGAGGAATTTTGCTTTAAAATATGCTACATTCATTTTGTTCATCAATTCATCTTGGTCCAATGCCTCCAGTGCTCAGTATCTCCAAAGAGAAACATATCTCTGTCCTAACCAAGTAACAAGACATAAGTTAGCATTGTGCAGCCATTAGTATTTTCCAGAAATATTATGATCTATTAAAAGTGCACTAAGTAATTCAGGTAAGTAACACCATCTTCCTACAGATACATAGTAATATAAGGATAGTATTGTTACATTAATCCTACATTCTGTTACAGTGATGGAAGCTTTTCGCATGATGAGCTAGTATGATCAGCCCCTCCAAACTTTTCCACCTTAATGCAATAAATAATAGTAATATTGTAAGACTATTTCATTATGTAACATAAGTTCTGAGAGATTTCATTTTAGCTTGGTAGTAGACTGGATTAACTCGCACTTCGTGAAAATCTGACAGCACAGTCTGACCTAGACACTGAAGTGGTTTGCTGTGAGGGTGAGTGAGATTTCATTTCTCAGAAATGCCATTATTGTTGTTGCATGAGACTGAACACAGCATGACCTTCAAACCTCTGTTTCATTGGTAGATCTGGTGGTTTTAAAAAAAATCCAACAACATCCTGAACAAAATTGATGCAAAGTCACTGAAACACAAACACGAGAATGTGTGATACAGTTTTTACAGTCACTTGTCAGAAAAGGATCACAGTTGGAGCTAAATTCAGTGAACCAGAGATGACAAAGTTCAGTGCAACTTAACAGGATTTTTTTAATTTAAAACTTTCTTATGTTACTGGCTTTGGCCATGGACCATCATCTATGCACCTGTTATTGCTGCAACAGTAATCTGCAAAATTATGCAGACAGGCTGTCATTGGAAAAATCATAGAACCATAGAATGGTTTGGGTTGGAAGGGACCTTAAAGATCATCTAGTTCCAACCAACCTGCCAAGGGCTGGGACATTTTCCGCTAGACTGATTTGATCAAAGCCCCATCCAACCTGGCCTTGAACACTGCCAGGGATGGAGCACCCACAACTTCTCTGGGCAATCTGTGCCAGTGCCTCACCACCCAAAAATGTGGCTCAAATCATGATGAGGAAGAAAATCCTGTAAGACTAATAACACTTTAAATAAAGTGTTAAAAAAACCTGTATCATCTTAAGCAAAGCTTTGTGTAGAAAGTTGCAATGTTGATATATATCAAGACACTAAAAAGGGCTAGTATCTTACTTTCTCGGTTGCAATAATATCTCATTTACAATCATTTGTTTGTTTATGTTTGCTTGCACTGCCTTCAAGGAAACATGGTTGCTCCTTTCATTAGTGCAGCTATAGTAACCACCTTTCTGGTAATTACTGGAGTCAAATCAAGTCCAGAGCTGCCAGAGCTGAAAGCAGCAGATGCTAGTCTACAGAAACAAAGATGGTGAATATGGCAGTTTTAGGATTTGGATACTGAAATAAAAACGCTTAAGCTTGCAAAGGATTTATAAACTGCTTGGAAACAGAAAATTGGAAAATAAATTTTGTGCTGAATCATGTAAGAGTTAGGGTTACCCAGATGTCTGAGAAGCAACATTGTCTGTCAGCAAGCTGCAGCTAGGGTCTCTGCTGACAGTTTTTACCGGTGGGTTGCTCTCTTGTAGTTCTCGCTGGTCAATATTGGTCTGGTGAATAATATAGTTTGGCAAAACCACAGTCCATGTAAACTTACAGCCACTTAAATCCTGTTTCCACAAGTCATCCCTGCCAGGTACTTGACTGGGTTATCTAAGATGATCCTTAATTTAGGTAGGAATTCAGCACAGTGTTGAAAATATCATAAGCAACATGTTAATCTTACTAACTCCTTTGATAGGAAAGAGGCATCGATTTTTCCCTCCAGCATTGTGGTGTTGTCTGTGTTACTCTGCTTTAAAACCTTCTCATGTTTCTTGCTTATTTTACCAATTTTTTTTTCAACAAACACGTTCCTTGAAGAAAGATTAGTTTGAATTTGTTCTTTATTTTACAGTCATTCAGATGAATCCAGTTCCCAAAACAACTGAAAAGCTGTTGAAATAGTCTGTAATTATCTTGATTTCAGTCAAGCCACAGTTCAGTAAGACTTGACTATATTACTTTCTGAAGCCTGACTGGTTTTGAAATGCATCAGTTTGAAGAATTATTTTGTTTTTGTAAAATTAAGATTAAGCATTTACTTTTGGATATGAATAGGACATTTTATTGTCCATATAACTTTTATTCTGTATCTCTGTACTTCCTTCTTTAGTGTGTTTATTGCTCTGAATTACTAGAACAACTTATTATTTTAATGGGATTTAATTGCAAATTGGATTTCCACAAGACTGAAATTATTAAGTGAAGCACTAGACTGTGGAATTTAGGGTAGATTATTAGTAAGCCAAATAAGTGGTTAAAAAACATAGCCACAACAATTGGTCAAGTTTTATTACTTTTTGTGTTTAACTTGAATAGAAAGTGAGATGTTGCAGTTTCTTATCTTTATTAAGAAAAAAAATATTATTTTCTTTCTACATCTCACTGTTCCATAACCCTTATTTAAATTAAGGTGCAATGATTGCAACACATTTCATGCAAGAGAAAACAAAGATAATTTTAAATAACTGTGGAAGTATGCAAACATACCTGAGCCTATGTCTGAAATGAGCTAGACTTGCAACCACTGTGGTTCTTTGGAAAGGGATAGTTCACTTAAGTAAGACAACTCAGTCTCTTTTGATCACTCATAACATTACAGATTCACAAACTCAGGCAGTTCCTCCCTTGGGATATCAGGAAAGAATAAAAAATGGCATATCTTTGCAGTTGAGACCAATACCAAATTAACTGAGTAAAACTGTAACACATCAGCCATGCACAAGCCACATTAGCTTCACAGCCCTGATAAACAGTGAATGGTTGAGCTGAGTTCACTGCCACCCTGGTACTATGCTAGTCATACACTTTGGGTGTTTTCCTCGGGTGTTTTTAATCTCACACTCTCAAAATTTTTGGCTAATTTTTTTCATCACACTTTTTTATTTTAAGGTTCAGTGTGTGGTTGGTTTGCTTTTTTTTTGGTGAAAATTCAATGCCAAAAGGCCACCTCTTACTCTAAGAAGAATTACAGCTCATCATGACCTCTGTCATTTCCAATGTTTGAAATATCAAGGTTAGACACTGCCATTTTCTCTGTGCAACGAGGAGATCACAAGTATTAAATTCTTGTCCTCCAAAACATGACAAGTCCAGCTCTTTTGGTGCCTGGTGTTGTAGCTAATGACATTTTTCTAGCACAAAGCCCCACTGAGATAATCGTGTGGCTGGCAGAAGGACATTTTCTTCAGTAACAGTAATATGACTATTACTCTTTTATAGCTTGCTTGGTATCTTTTACTCAAGAGAAAAAAAATATTTCCCAACTCCTTTGGAACTTCTCTCATTTTATCATCACACCATACTTTGGAAGTCTTAGACATGGACTCTGAATTTCAGTCTAAAACTACTAACAGTTTTCAGAAACCAAAATTAGTTTATATTGTCTCCAGGAAATTTTTCATACAGGTAAACCCACAGAATGAGACTTTTATTAAAACAGTATGAGGGAGTTTCTTTAAAGTCACTTTGATTTTCACCAATTTGGAAAAATCAAGTGTTATGATCTCTCCTCCCCCATCTCCCAGCTTTATCCCTTAAAAACCATCATTAATTCAAAACCAAGAAGGAATATGGAATAAACCAGATATTTGGCTATCTAAGGGAGCAAATAGATCAGCATTTCATAGAATAGAATCATAGAATCATAGAATCGATTGGGTTGGAAAAGACCTCCGAGATCATCGAGTCCAACCCTTGGTCCAAATCCAGTCCATTTACTAGATCATGGCACTCAGTGCCACGTCCAATCTGCGTTTAAAAATCTCCAGGGACGGTGAATCCGCCACCTCTCTGGGCAGCCCATTCCAATGCCTGATTACTCTCTCTGTAAAGAATTTTCTCCTGATATCCAACTTAAATTTCCCCTGGTGGAGCTTAAGCCCGTGCCCCCTTGTCCTATTGCAGAGTGCCTGAGAGAAGAGACCAACCCCCACCTGGCTAGAACTTCCCTTCAGGTATTTATAGACGGTGATGAGCATTTATGACATCTGTTGCATGATATGGTATTAGAATGATGGATGTCTATTAATTTCAGCAATACTCTCTCTATATATGCATATAAATTAATGAATTTTTTTCTTTACATTTATTCACACTCAAATAAACCTCAAATTCATTCTACTGCACAGATTGAAGTCTCTTTTAATAACTTTAAGTGCAAATATACTTTTCAATTAGAATCAAAGTTTTGAATTAGACCCATTTCCAGCAGTTTGATCATGAGCAAATACAAGCTAGATGATGGTAATGGGATTCACAAGCTGAATTAAAGGTTTCACCCTGCTTGCCAGGAAAAGTAAAAAAACGTGGTCCTAGCCATTACAGATACTTGATCAGATATATTAGTATACTCAAAAACTATCAGGAGTATCAAGAAGGATGGTGCAGTGGTTTGTGACTGAATTTTACACAGGAGCCCCTCTATTGCCGCAGTCTTCTCATGTGATTTTAGGCAAGTGCTTCAATATCTTCTGCCACTGTCTGTAGAAAAATGAATCATTACATCTCTAAGCAGCTGTAAAATTATATATGGGAAGTACCTTAGAGCTCAGCCATACAAGTAATTGGGAGAGTAGCAAGAACCAATTCAAGTAATGGTGTTTTATAAAACCACTGCGAAGACTGAAAGTCATTTTTAATGTGGGAAAAGTCTACACCGCTGGGGAAGTGGGGGTAC